GGAATTAATTCAGGGAAATCCTGTTTTAAAACTAGAACATATATTCTTGACTTAACTGCACACAGTAGATTCTCCATTATAAGCCTAGTAGTCACCCTCACTGTTGAGATCTGCTTTATGGTCTGAACTGGTCTTGCTTCAGCTTCCAGCCATTTAGGTCAGTACACATTTGTTAGATAAAAAGCCCTATATTACATTTCTATTTTCAATGTAAGTACTTACAGATAATCAAGTTAGCCTTTAATCTCTTTAGCTTAAAGAGACTGAGCTGCTTGCTTAAGGCAAGTTTTCCAATATTTCTGTCACTCTCATAACCCTTCTGAGCCCTCTCCAGTGTATCAACAACTCCCTTTCACATTATTAACTTTAGTTCTGGTGTCAGCACTACACTTGCTATTCAGAATCTCATGGATAGCAGTGAAATAAGTCAGATGTCCAAGGATGCCTACCAAAGCCATGAGCAGAAGCAGACACTATTAGCTATCCACATACATGGGTGCATCTACACTGTAGGGCTTAACTTGAAAGAAGCTACACAAACTGAGCTATGTCAAATGGGAGCATCTACACAGCACTTACTTTGATATAGAGCACTCTTCCTCTGCCTTCCCTTATTCCTTATACAATGAGGGTTACAGGAGTTGAAATATGTCCTCCACCTTGACAGTATTTTGACACTATTTCAAGATAGCTGCCTGCTATGTAGATACAGACTAAGTTATTTCAGAATAGTGCTAGTTATTCTGAAATACTGTTGCAGTGTAGACTTACAGTTAGACAGCATATTTGTCTATGGCATTTAGAGGATACTGGAAGTCAGAGATACACCCAATAGCCAGACATGAACAAAAACAACAAGAAACAAACCCACAACCCAGATGTGCACGTGCAAAATCCCACTGGCAATCTGAGAATCCAGAAGTGGCAAGGGAACGTGGACTGTGCACCAGGACAAGTATTTCTCTTGTTTCCAAAATAGTAGGCAAAAGGTAAAGAGCTGCATAGAAGTAGTTAGGGAAGCAAAAAGTTTGCACCTGGGATGCCACTGCAAACATGTACAAATTAGGGGCGTTAGTTGACTACTCTATTACCTGCTGTCTAACTGTATGAATTCTTAGCAGTTAGTTGATTACTCTATAGTCCCCAGAAGGCAGGGGTGGCAACCAGTGAGTTCCCTGGGAATAGGGGCTGTTGCTGCAAAGCAGTCTGTCTGTGGTAGGCCCAAGCTCTCTGTGGACAGGCTGCTCTGGTAGCAGCCCCTGTCCGTGAGGAGCTCAGACCCCTGTGGAAAGGGCCTGCTGCCACCCTGCATAGCAGCCAGAGGCAGCCAGTCTGTGAGGGGAGCTGGTTTTTTAACTGGCTCCCCTTGCGGATTGGCTCCTGCCTGGTACCCTGTGCTGCTGCTGCCTCTTTCAGAGGCAGCAGCGCAGGGTGCTCCACAGGAATAGGGCCAGAGCACACTGGCTGCCACCCCTGGGGACAAGAATGTTGACTAATTGCTAAGAATTCGTTTTTGCAGTCTTGTTCTTGTGCCCATTCCAGGGGCACTTTTTTAAAAAAGTTGCACAACACTAGAGCAAAGGCCACATGGATTGTTGGTTCACATTTTACAAAACATGGGCTTAAGGGACAGAAAGTGACTTATAATTGGACATTAATCAGTGAGTGATAGATATCAGTAGCCCACTCTCTCAGAGTCTCTGGAGAGAGATTAATTTAGATTTGCAAGTCTGTCTTCTAGCACGTGTATGTGTTGATAGCTGTAATATACAGACACCAGGCAGTCCACCTGTGGAGGGGGCCCTGCCATTCTTTCCAAGAACAGCTGGAGGTTTTTCTGTGTAAAATATATACAAGTCTCATTATTATTACGGCACTCAAGCCATCAATTGGTGGCCTTCTAAGGGGGCTTCATGTTCTCCCCTCTTTTGGAGGCAGACAACCAAACAAAAATAAAGATGTTAAGTATGAGGTAGAGGAAAAGACAAGTAATAGTCTGTACAACCAATGCCCACTTCCAAAGGAGGTTAGCATTTGCCATGAAGACTCCTGTGCATTCAACTGCAGAATAATAGTGCATAATAGAGTTTCATTTTTTAAATGACTATTTAACATTGTGTACCTGACTTTTCTGGTTTCTACTTTTTTTTTTTAACACTACATCTAGTACTCTTTCCACAATTTCTAACAACTAAGTAGTTCTGGTAAAGTTCTGGAAAAGGAGCTGAATTTGAGACTCTAGCATTTAAGACTAACTATTAAGCTTTGTTGCGTGTTCATTTTTACTGGGCAAGAATAGAGTCTTTGCTTACCAGTCACCTAATATTATGTTGCACTAAGTCAAATGATGCCCTTCAGATTTTTGTACTTACTCCATTCTAAGTTTCCTACTGCATATAGCAGCACTGTAATTAGAAAAGCCAGGAGACTTACCGCTGCATCGACATTAGCAGGAGAGTCACCATTGGGATCTGCCAGCATAGAAATAACACTAATCATTATAGTTTCCACTGTATGGATGGGAAGCCAGCGTTCCTCAGGTTTTTCATAGCCATATTTGTCTTCTCCAGGCTCATGAAGAATGGAAATACAGACATCACCGTTCTTATCAACTAAAAAAAATAAAGCAGACAATAGGTATATTTTAGTGTTGATTAGATAGCTGGCTTCAGGATATTCAATGGGGATGTTATCCTTCATCTGAATAAGCAAGGCTCGCCAAGTGGCGGCAAGCCCCGCTCACCAACCGCGCGGTTCCGTGCTCTGCGCATGCGCAAATCGTTCTGCACATGCACAGATGGCTCTGCGCCCGTTCTTCCGGGTTGTAATCTACTCGCCATGGGCAAGTAGATTACATTATTTGTCGAGCCCTGTGAATAAGTAACCTATTCCAAGTGCCTTTAAAACAGTTAATGGTGGAAAGTTTCTGGAAAGACACCATCGAGTTGACAGTTTGAGAACATCTTACAGAGAGGCTGCACAAGAAGGAAGTTTTGCAAGAGAGTAGTGCAAGTCTATTAGGCATGTTAAATATCAGTTAATTGAATAATTGAGTAACCTCATGAATTCTCATCAGTTAACCGACTAGTCTATAGTCCCAGGGCATGGGGCTGGCAGCCACTGTATCAGAGGCAGCAGCATGGGGTACCAGGTGGGAACTAGTCTGGTTTAAAGACCAGCTCCCCTTGCAGACCAGCTGCTCATTGCCCAGTAACAGAGTGGCAGCAGTCCCTCTATGGGAGGTGGGTCTGACCTCCTGGACCCAGTGCAAGTCGAAACTGAGCTGGGCTACCTGCACGGTTCCTGATCCAGCTCTGCATTTAAAGCGGGGGAGGAGGGTTAATCGGTTACATCCGTACTCTAAGGCAGAGGTTTGCTTTAATATGGGTACAGTGAGTATTTTCAGTTTAATTGCAACCTTTTCAAAATTTCTGGAAAAAAAAAGTCAGTTATTTTTCCACAACTATAGTTCGAGACTATTCATATCATGATCATTAGAACTATAACATGAAGTGGTCCTGTGAGCCACTTTGAAGCCTCCATTTTCAGTTTAGTGAATTTTTCTCCCTTGTCTGGAGTTCAGAGTCTTCTAGTTAGTAACCCCACTGGCAAAGGCAGGTGCTTAGGAGTGGCTGTAAAGGTCTTCCCAGGAAAAAAAAAAAGTCTATCAAAGCATATGAAAAGTGGGCAATGCCCACACCTTGGACAATTTGTGTGTGTGGGGCCTCAGGGTGTCCAGAAGGGTCAGGCTGGGGCTCTGAAGTGCACTGCTCTAGCAGAGACTGTAAGATTGCCTAGGGAGGTTGTAGAATCGCCAATGATGGCGATTTAAGAGCATGTTAAACACACACACCCCTACCTGTTAGGGAGAATTTAGATGGTGCTTGGTCCTGTCATGCATGCAGGGGACTGGACATCCAGAGGTCAAGTCCCCTTCAGTTCCATGATTATCTAGACCATGCCTAACAAGTGTCTAACTGGCTCTTACAAATTGCCAATGATGGAGATTCTACAGCCTCCCTAGGCTATTTGTTCAAGTGCTTAATTACCCTGATAGTTATAAACCTAAATCTTCCTTGCCACAACTTAAACCCATAGCTTCTTGGCCTATCAAAGATTAAGAAAAAAGGTGTCAAATGTCTCCCTCATGACAGTGGGGATTGGTCCTGCCTTGGGCAGAGGGCTGGACTTGACCTCCTGAGGTCTCTCCCAGCTATGGAGATTCTAGAACAGCTTTTTAAGAATGTTAAAGCAGTTGTCCCCCTCTGTCCTCTTTTCGGTAAGAGATCAACTCAGTTCTTTCAGTCTTCCCCTCACTGATCATGTTGTCTAGCCCTTTATTCACTGTTGCTCTTCTCTGGACCTTCTCCAAATCTTTTCTGAAATGTAACACCTAGAACTGGACACAATACTCCAGTTGAGACCTAATCAGCACGGAGCAGAGTGGAAGTATTATTTTGTCTTGCTCACAATGCTCCTGCTAATACATCTCAGCAGATGTTTGCTTTTTTTTGCAATGGTTGACTCATTGCTGGTAGGTAAGGTCCCATGGGAAGCAAGACCAAGATCAAAAACAACTGAAGAGACTTGGCAGTTTTTCAAAGGGACATTATTAAGGGCCCAAAAGCAAGCTATTTTGTTGCCTAGGAAAGATATGGCAAAAGATTGCCTTGGCTTAACCAGGAGATCTTGCATGATCTAAAAGATCAAAAAGGAGTAAAAAATGGAAACTAGGACCA